GTGATATCAAGTGTGTGGCACAATTAAGAATGGATAGAGAAACGTTTAGAAGATTATGCAAGCTTCTATGTGAGAAAGGAGGTTTGACAAGCACAAGAAATGTAATTGTTGAGGAGATGCTTGCAATGTTTTTGCACATCCTAGCACATCATGTTAAGAATAGGGTGATTAGTTTCAATTTTAAGAGATCCGGAAGAACGATTAGTAAATGTTTCCACAAGTGTTTAAAAGCAATTATTCGGTGTCAAAAAGAATTTTGGAAAAACCCAGAACCAGTTTTGGAGAACTCAACTGACCCTAAATGGAAGTGGTTTATGGTATGTGTTCTCTTTTTTTATTATTTTGAAAAAAATTGTTTTAAATTATATTTGTGTTCTTAAAATTTTATGCTTCTTTTTCATAATAATATAGAATTATTTGGGAGCATTGGATGGAACATATGTAAGAGATCGTGTGCCAGAGGCAGACAAATCAAGATATAGAACAAGGAAAAATGAGATTGCTACTAATGTCTTAGGAGTTTATTCACAAGACATGCAATTTATATATGTCCTACCGGGATGGGAAGGTTCAACGCACGATATGCATGTGTTAAGGGACACAGTGACTAGAAGAAATGGTTTAAAGGTTCCTCATGGTAATTTTATACAACAACACTAATTTTTTTTTTCATGACATTATATTGTTTGTATATTATCTATTTGCTCATTGTTTAATATTGTTACTTTTTATATTGGTTGATAGGTTATTACTACTTGGTAGATGGTGGCTATAGTAATGGGACCGGTTTTCTTGCACCATTTAGAGGACAACGTTACCATTTAAGTGAGTTTAACAATAGAAACCAACCAACTTCGGCGGAAGAGTTTTTCAACATGAAGCACTCGAGTGCTAGGAATGTTATTGAGCGGTGCTTTGGATTATTGAAAATGCGATGGGCTATACTAAAAAGTCATTGCTTTTATGACATAAAAATACAACAACAAATAATTTATGTATGTTGTATGTTACATAACTTTATTCGAAGAGAAATGGCTTATGACCCTATGGACATTGTGTACGATAATGATCCAGCACAACAATTGAACAATGAGACGGAGTTTATTGATTCCATTGAAACATCTACCGAGTGAACTACATGGAGACAAAATTTGGCACAAGAGATGTGGATTGAATGGCGAGCAAGTAGAGAATAGGATTAAGGATTGACTTGTTTGAGAATTTTTTTTTTTTTATCATTTTTACGCATTAAGCACATTATATTGGCATGCTATTAATGTTACATACTATTGTTATGGAATTCTTCAATTTCAAGATTTATGCAACTTTGTTATATGGTTTACTTATATTTTATACATGACTTGTTCATTTTTTGTTTAGAATGAGTTCCATTCCAGCTTCTTCAACTCAAAGAGGACGAGGTCAAAACAAGCATTATTGGACAACACAACAGGATGACGCACTGATAGAGGCATTGTCTGAATTGAGTCAAAACGCAATGTGGCGGGCTGATTGTGGTTTTAAAAATGGGTATTTGCTTCAATTGGAGACAATGATGGAGGCCAAATTACCAGGTTGTGCCATCAAAGCATCTCCTCATATTGAATCTCGTGTGAAATGGTTTAAGAAAAAATATTGTGCAATGACAGATATGTTGTCTCTTAGTGGGTTTAGATTGGACAATGATAAGATGATATTACAATGTGAAAAAAATGTGTATGATAAGTATGTTAAGGTACGTGTAATAAACTTTTTTCACAATGGTTGTTACTTGGTTATTATTTAGTGAATTAACAAATGTTATTTAACTTGTTTAACAGAAACGAAAAGATGATGCTGGTTTATATGGAAAACCTTTTCCTCATTATTACACTTTGGGTGAAATTTATGGACGTGATCGAGCTATAGGCATTGGTGCTGGAAATGCAGATGATGATGAGGAAGAGGTCCGCCAACAAGATACCATGAATGTAAATTTAGGTGTTGACTCAAATATGAATGCATTTGAAGAGAATTTCATGGAAAATGATATGTACTACAATCAGCAACCAAGTGTTCAACAGGGCCAACCATCTGAAAGCTCTCCAAGCGTTTCCACTCACAAGACAAAGACCAAAGGTAAAAATAAAGACAAGATATTTGAGAATATGTGCTCCAACATTGGGTCGATGGCCAAATTTGTGGCACCAATGGTACCCAAATTAGATGGTCTCATTGATGTGCTTTCCACTGCTGACAAGGATTTAGCTGGATTACAAGCCAACTTGTATCAAGAAATGTTGAAAATTGATGGCTTAGATGATGATCAAGTATATGATACCACCAATATTTTAGCAACAAAGCATGATTTGCTACATGTATTCTACAACATTCCGGATCAACTCAAGAAGAAATACATCCTCAAAATTCTTAGTCGTGGGGTTTAAGTATTAGATTAACCAATTATTAGTTTACTTAGATTATTCTAGATATATTTTTCGATTTATGACTTGGAACTTATGTTTGAAAGTTTATAACTTAAAACTTAGCTATTTTGTTCTTATTTTATTTCATCATCATATTCTTTTCTTGAAATTGAATTAAAATTTATTGAGAAAAATAACTTAGATGACTAATTAGGTGTGATTAAAAAAATCTAATTACTAGTTAGTTATTTTAATATATAGTTAGCATAATATACAATTTTTTTTTTAAGTTGAACACACAAAAATCTACTAAAAGGGTAGGTAAGTAAATTTATAACAGTTTATTCCGATTCTGAGTGTAAGTAAACGCATGAATAGGATTGAGATTGATTCCGATTCCAATTCCTGGAACCTAAGTAAACAGCTTATTTTGATGATTTTTGACTCCGATTCCTGCCCACTCCGAATTCTGTCCACTCTGATTGATGTCCACTCCGATTACGAATAAGTAAACATGGCTTAAGAGTGTAAGGACTAGAGTGTCTAAATTTTTAAAATGAAAACTAACAGCGCCAACAGATTAAAGACAAGTTTGACATATGAGTTCAAATTAGGGTTTAAACCGGTGATTTTGATTATGATTTTTAAAATTCAAATTTTTTATTAAAAAAAAAACATTACAATAAAATCAAAACCATGTGTTTAAATATATGAAGAAGACATATTCCGAACATACCTTAATGGCATGTTTACTTACCATGATTGAAGAATAGGAGTGGGGAATGAGAGTCAATCTCATGTTTACTTGCTCTTATTTATCCTGGAATGAGAGTGAGATTGGTGGGTCCCACTCAAATTTGGGATTGAGGAATGGGACTGGCATTCCCATGCCCCCCTTGGGATTGAGACTCTCATTCTTAATATTAATATCAATTTACTATTACACCTTTATTTTACTTATAAATACACAATTAAAAATAAAATTCAAAAAATAATAAATGCAACATATATTTATTATTTTATTTGTCTAATATATTTATTTTTATTTAGTTTATTTAAATTTTTTTAAAATTTATTTTTATATTTTAAATAGTTGTACAATTTATATTTATTATTTTAGTACCTAATTATTACACTAAATATTTTAATTATGATTAATTTTAATATTATAAGTACACAATATATTTTGTAAATTGAAAATATCAAATTGATTTAAAGGGTATATTAATACTTTTACACTTTTTTATTCCGATTATGGGTGTAAGTAAACGTATAAATGAGATTTGGAATGACTCCGATTCTGAATCCTATCACTAAGTAAACAGCTTATTCTGACTCCGATTCCTCACTCCAAATCCTACCCACTCTGAATCCTGCCCACTCCGATTCATGCTCATTCTGATTACGCGTAGGTAAACATGCCATAAGAGTTTGTGAGTGTGCAAGTTATGATTTTTATATGACTTGAGTTATGATTTGAGTTGCATATATTAAACAAATATTGTAATAAAAAATTGAATTTAAATTTTTATGAGAATAAACGCTATAATAATATCACTCGAAACATGACTTGAATTATAACTAGAGACATGAAATGAACATAACCCGTAAAGTTTTTGAGCCTGAGTAGAGATGTCAAAAAGGCCGTGCCGGGCCGGCACGGCCTTTCTAACCCCAGGCCCGTGGCGGGCCTGGGCCATGCCGAGCACGACCCTGCACAGTGTAGGGTCGTGCCAAGGCCGGGCCTGAGGAGAAACCCTCAGGCCCTGCACTGGCCCTCGGCCCTAGTCCATAAGGGCTAAGGCCGGGCCCAGGCCCAGGCCCTTCACGGGCCAGCCTTAGCCCTTTTAATTTTTTTGCAATATTTAATTAAAAAAAGAAAATATATCATATGCCCTCAAAAGATGTGATTTTATTGAATTGAGATAATATGAATAAGTACACATAAATGACTACCTCGTTAAAAACCTTGCCAAGTAAAACTCGTAGGGAGATTGGGGCAAAAGCTTAGCGAAAGAAAAAAAAGTGCAGTATTCTAGGATAAGTAAATTGTAAAACGTAAGTGCTTCCAGAAGATTCTGTTACGTCTAAACTCAATATTAACCTAATTTTCTGAAGGCACTTGAGTTTCACTTATGATTAACAATTTTTTTAGGAATTTTTTATAATTTCAAATTTGATGACAAAAAAAGTAATATATCATATGCCCCAAAAAATGTGATTTTATTGAAATAATATGAATAATTACAAGAAAATGACTGGTTGATCAGACGGCATAGGTCGGCCAGTTGACCCTAAAATGCCTCAAACCTCATTAAAATTTCATATCGCGGGTCTAGCCCTTCGCGTACCTGGGCTTTGGCAGGCTTGGGTTGCAGGCCTTAAACATAAGGTCCATACTCTTCTAACGTGTCGAGCCGACCCGACCTATAACAGTACAGACAGACCGTGTCGAATTAATTACTGTAGCAGGATCTTGACACCTCTAGGCCTGAGTAAACAACCAATGGCTTTAGTAAACAGACTTAACGGAAAATAATAATAATAATAATAATAATAATAATAATAATAATAGAGAGAGAGAGAGAAAAGAAAGATTGTCACCCCGGCACGGAGTGGAGGTGAAGATTAGAAAGGAAGCTAACAATAAGCAAAAGAAAAACAGAGCGATACTTGAAAGAAAGAAAGAAAGAAAAAAAGGAATGGATTTTGTAACACTATTCGTTCCCTTTTTCATCCTAAAGCTGGTGATCAAGTTAAAGTACCCAAACTCCTTGATGATTAGGAGTCTCTTCCACGCAACCCTTCACCACCCTCATCACCATTTTTATACCCATCCCCACCGCCACTGAAAGATAACACACACACTGACCAAAAACGACACCAATTTCCACTCTCTCCGGGCTCTGGCCATTTCGCCGCCATGCCGGGTCTGATTTCTCCCAACCCATCTCCCATTTTCATCCCCAGAGCCAACGAACGGCCACGACAAACCACCAGAAAGTCCCACGAGAGGTTTATCGATGATCCGTTGCTGGACAACCCGGATCTCGGTCCGTTTCTGCTGAAGATGGCCCGGGACGCCGTCGCCTCGAGGGAAAATCCGATGAAGGCTTTGGACTACGCGATTCGGGCGTCGAAGTCGCTGGAGAGGTGCCCGGTCCCCGGCGTCGAGCTGGCCATGAGTCTGCATGCCGTGGCGGCGATTTACACCAGTTTGAGCCGGTTGGAGGAGGCGGTCCCGGTTCTGGAGCGGTCGATTGAGGCGGTTTCGGGTGTCGGAACCGGATCGGAGTCGTACCGGGCGTTGATGAGGTTCTCCGGGTACATGCAGCTCGGGGACACGTATTCTATGATGGGTCAGCTCGAACAGTCCATTTCGTGTTACAGGTCGGGTCTTGAGGTCCAGATTGAGGCTCTGGGTGAGTCGGATCCCAGAGTTGCCGGGACTTACAGGTGAGTGTTTTTTTTTTTTTTTTGTGCTAGTTCATTTTAGCTCGTGGTGCTGGATAATGCTAACTTGCGCCGGGGGTTTGAATTTTGTATTAGACATGGTGGGTGTTAACTGTTACGTTGATGAGTGTAGTTAGGCTTTTACTTGGTGTATTTAGCTAGTGGGCCCACATGTTTCCAGCACAATTTGGTGTTTAAGATTTGGTTGGTGAGTTGGGACTTGGATTGAATGTGATAAATGATAATGTTAGGTTGTCCTCTTCATTGTAGTGATAGCTGATTGGATAAAATATTAGTTAAATATTCTGTTTTACATTTTAGCAACGTTTCACCTTAGTATCTTTGATGTAAGAATTGTATTGTCATGTTTGATTCTGTTCCAAGATACATAATTTTTTTTTAAGGTAGCTGCAAGTTAATGGTGTGTACAAGTTTTCATGTGTAGTGGTTTCATGATAACGGGATATTTCCTTTTTTGGTTAGTTTAAAACTGAGATAAATCTATGAAAATGGTTTTCGAAATTGAAGGTATCTTGCTGAAGCCCATATGCAAGCAATGCAATTTGACGAGGCAGAGAGGTTCTGCAAGAAGACACTCGAAATTCATAGGGAGCACAGCGCACCGGCGTCCCTTGAAGAAGCTGCTGATCGCCGACTTATGGCCCTCATCTGCGAGGCAAAGGGAGATCATGAAGCCGCCCTTGAGTACCTTGTTCTCGCTAGCATGGTAATGATTGCCAATGGACAAGATAATGAGGTTGCAAATATTGATGTTAGCATTGGAAATATTTACTTGTCTCTCTGTCGCTTTGATGAGGCCATTTTCACTTACCAGAAAGCGCTTACGGTCTTCAAATCCACAAGGGGAGAAAATCACCCTTCTGTCGCATCAATCTTTGTTCGCCTTGCTGACTTGTATTACAGGACAGGCAAATTGCGAGAGTCCAAGTCATACTGCGAGAACGCCTTGCAGATATATACCACACCTTTGGCTGGAGTGACATCTGAGGAAATTGCTAGTGGATTGACTGAAATCTCAGCCATCTATGAAGCCGTCAGTGAGCCTGAGGAGGCACTGAAACTCTTGAAGAAGGCAATAAAGTTATTGGAGGATAACCCTGCACACCAAGGCACAATTGCGGGATTAGAAGCACAGATGGGTGTGATGTTCTACATGGTTGGAAGGTTTGCAGAGGCTCGAAACTCATTTGAGAGTGCCATAGCTAAGCTTCGTGCAAGCGGGGAGTGGAAATCGGCGTTCTTTGGAATCGTGTTAAACCAGATGGGATTGGCTTGTGTACAGCTCTACAAAATAAATGAGGCTACTGGACTGTTTGAAGAAGCAAGAGAGATACTAGAGCAGGAGTGTGGTCCTTGCCACTTGGATACCCTTGGAGTTTACAGCAATCTGGCTGCAACTTACGACGCCATGGGAAGGTAATCCTTATCGTTGATTCAAGCTTTCAATGTTTATGCTGGTTATGAAGGATATTTGAGTTTTATGTTCTCTACTCTAGGCTCAAAAGGCTGTGGTTTGCTAAACGTGGAATATTTATGCTGATACAGGGTAGAAGATGCAATTGAGATTTTGGAGTACATCCTGAAGGTGAGGGAAGAGAAACTCGGAACAGCAAATCCCGATGTTGACGATGAAAAGAAAAGGCTAACTCAGCTTTTAAGAGAGGTGGGGAGGTCTAGGAACAAGAAGGGAAAATCGCTCGAAAATCTTCTCGGTTCCAACCTCAGAAGGAAAAAGGTGGGAACAAAGAGATGGTCTGGTTTTAGCTTCAAAACTTGACTAAAAACACCCCTCATTTGTCTCAACTCTCCTTTCTTCCACACCAATTCCAGCTTTCGGTTTATAGAAAGATTTTACACCCACAAAAAGGTCTTAGAAATGTCATACTTCTTTCTTCGATGTTTGTCTTTTGATTTTTGAATATGTTCTCTTGTTGAAAACGTTGTCAACTTTGGGATTTGATATTTGCCTCTTATACCGTACTGTTTATTGAAATTTGCCTCATTCCTTCATACCACAATTAAACCTCGGAGTGCAAAAGAGTGAAGATCTTCCCTAGAACAAAAGAAAAGTTCCAGAGCTTATGTAACTCTTGCATTTCTACTGAAGATATCAAACATGATTGATAAGATTAAACTTTAAAAGAGAGTTTTTTAAATTGGATGCTTTAAGGTAACATAGTCTAATCTGATAAATCGAATACTTAGTAGCTGCTTCAAAGAGATTGTTACAGAAGCGAACCCAAAGGCCCCTAATATAAAATTTAATTGGTTATCAACTCCATCCAAAGTAGCATCAACAAAAGGACGAGTCATTGTATCAACTGTGAAGGGCACGACTCGTTCGCTAGACGCATATGCATCATGTCAAGGACGAGACTGTTCATGAAAAAAAAAATACCACATAGATGTGAACATTGCTTTGAACAGTCTAATCTTTATGATGTCTTGTCTGTTTTGCATACTCTTTTTATTGTTACCTTAGATATGATTTTGATCGTGAAACACTACCTCACTATAAAAAAAAAAAAAAAAAGCTCCTCCAAATAGTCTAGCAAAACCTCTAGCCTAGAGGAAATAAGGGAGTAGTTTCCAGCTTCCACATCTTCCTTTGATAGACGACATCATCTTAATGCCCTTTTCTTTTCCAGAATTATTTTTTATCTTTATCTGAGTGTAAGAAATAATTTAGCTTTGTACTAGAGTGATTCCCAGGATTCATTAAGTACTTCTGGTAGAAAAGCAATGCTCATAAACATAAAGTTGTATTTCTTGAGCCGCAAGTTTCTGCTAAGCCGCCTTGTTTTTTTGGTGTGACTCAATCACCATCAAAGAACTTTCCGAAAAGTAATAATAGTCATGCGCTGAACAAAAGGGATGTTGAGACTGATAGTTGTAATCATATTTTCTGTCCTAACTCATTTTCTTCTTTTAAGACAATACTATGATTCTTTTTTCCTATATGTGACAAGTATGAAAATTATGATATCTTTCACGTAAATTAAGGTTACGTTTGCTATGCAAATTTTTAAACCGGAATCATAATTTGATTTAAACATTTATTTGTTTACAAAATGTAAAAAATGATTCTTAAAAATTAATGTTTGGTTTGAATGATTTTGATTCAAAATTTAAACTTTTATGTGATGTTTTAAACTATAAACATCCTAAAAAATAAAACCACATCTCCCTTGATTTTAGATAGTTCAAAACTCTGATTCTGATTCCAGTTCCAAATCATAAATCATGTTTCTAATTATAAAACTAAGGCATCGTTCATTTTACCGATTCGAGTTTAGAATTTGAGTTTTACTACAGTAAAAAGCTCTCAGAAACAGTCACATTTAACTTTTTTGTTACAGTAAAAAGCTCTCACATAAAATAACATCTAAACTTAAATTAAAAATTCGAATTAACAAACTAACGGATCCTAAAATTATTATAATTTTGAACCCTCATACCAAACGCAAAATATCTTGCGGATAAAAAGATAAAATGCCATTATTTTTTTCATCATTATATGGAGGTATAATTATTTTTTATACTCTTTAGTCTAAATACATTTCTTTGTGGAAGATGATCGGCGAGGGGTGGTGGCGCAGTTGGCTAGCGCGTAGGTCTCATAGCTTTCAAAGTGAGTTATCCTGAGGTCGAGAGTTCGAGCCTCTCTCACCCCATGTTTTTTTAATTTTGATCTTATAAACAAAATGTTGAACTCAAGTGCAAACGACATCTATTTTTAATGTCGTTTGTATATTAATTTTGCTTTTTTTTTTCTCATATATATAGGGAAAACCGGATCTATATATACACCGTGCCATATATATGATCATATACAAAGGTCTGTTTGTTTGCGTTTTCATTTTCGTTTTCACGGTTTTCAAAGTAAAAAAATGAAAATGGGTGTTAAAAACGTGTTTGGTGCAATTTTTTTTAAAAAACAAAACCAAAAATGTTTTTGTCTTTTTGTGGAAATCAGAAAACAAAAAAAAAAAGTGTTTTCATTTTCTCGTTTTCGTTTTCTGTTTTCTGAAAAACGGATTTCACTTCTTTTTTTTTTTTCATTTTCTTCCCTCTTTTCTGAAACCGTTTTTGTATTATATATGTTTATTTAATATATTATTATTTAATATATTTAATAATATTATTTATATAATATATTTAATAATATTATTTATTTAATATATTTAATATATTATTTATTTAATATATTTAATA